TATTGTCTTCTCTCTACAGCTGAGAGGAAGGAAGTCGCATTAGAAGCTTTTTCAGGGCCTGGCTGTTTTTCTCCCATCTCTTTGGGCACTGCAGCACAGAGCACAAATCAAACTTGATTTCCCCCTCTGATACAGCACAACAAATTGTAATGAGAAACCTTCTGCGCCTGGAGGAGGTGACAGAAGGCTGTCAGTCAGCTGCACAGCACTGAACTCAAGGCTGTGTTTGCTGATGTGGAAAGAAATGCAAGCCTCTGCCTGGAGCTACTTCTGGGATGATACATTCCAAATTTGCTAGCTTTTATCCAACTCCTGTAACATTTTCATTCCTATTGTTGTTACAATAGACAGTAATCGTTTTTTTTATCACCGTAATGTTTTCTTCCAAAGTGTTTTGAGAAAACTAGAGATAATGCTTTTGTAACTTAGGGAATAAGGACAATTTCAAATTTGCTGATAGAGAGGCTGAGGTAGGCTAGGCAGGGCCCAAGGAATATGACTTGCAGGCCCTACCTCCTAGGTACTACTGCCCCATATACTACATCATCTTTCATTTTAATCCCTAAACATGCTTGGTCTTAGCACTTAGAGTTGAAGCATGGCAGATGTGCCATGGTTGGACTGGATGATATTATTGGTCTTTCCAACCTTAATGATGCTATGCTTCCATGAAAATCCTTTTTTTTTTTTTTTTTTTTAAATGGAAGATTTAGGTTGGATATCGGGGGAAGTCCTTTACCAAGAGAGTGGTGAGGTGCCGGAACAGGCTGCACAGAGAGGCTGTGGATGCCCCGTCGCTGGAGGTGTTCAAGGCCAGGTTGGATGGAGCCCCAGGCAGCCTAGTCTATTATTAGATATGGAGGCTGGTGGCCCTGCCTATGGGATTGGAGTTTGATGATCCTTGAGGTCTCTTTCAGCCCAAGCCATTCTATGATTCTATGATTCAGATTTGAACCTTGCCCAGCATTCTTTAGTTACATAAGGAGTTTTGATATCCACCAGACATGCTTTCCACATGATCAGTGGTGTGAAATGCATCTCTGTATGTGTGTCAAACTGGCTGAGGGGACCTGGAAGGTGTTCCCAAGTTACAGTATGCAAGGGGGCCTAATGTGATGCAATTTGACTTACCACTTGACATATTTTCTTATGATGGAGGTGTCTTAAGTGGGGGCACCCTGAAGGACTTGGGAATGCTGAAGTCAAACTGGGGGCCTGCCTGATGAGCACATGCCTTCTCACTGTGTGTGAATACACAGCCATGCCAACAAACATATGCTGAGTTTGACATGCAAGTCTACACTCACCCACAGGCATGCAGATGAACATGCCTGCATATAGCTATAGCCTTTCAGCCAGAAACACCCACCCATGAGCATCTTAAACTTGCACATTAGGGCAGCCACAATGGCTCAGAAAACAAATTCATATACTCAGTTATATATATAAACAACTCAGATCTCTCCATCAGCAGTCACCCACAGCACAAATACATATTACTTGCATACGCACACTCTTTCCCCCACACACGGATTCAGGTCTGTGCACTCTCCCATGGATCTGTAACCCAAGTACATCCTGAACACATTCAGGAACATATACTACAACCAATGGAGTACAGACACAAGGACCCACACATGCACACTCACATATATCTTAATGAAGGTTTTGGTCTGGGGAATTCCTTTTCAAGAAACAAAAATAATTGTCAAAAGGAATAAACAGAGCAAGGAGAACTGCTCAACCTATGCAAGCACATACCTACAGGCACGCAGCAGTGCTGCTAGACAGGGCTCTCACCACAACTACAGCTATCGCAGCTCAGCCTCTGCCAGGCATGCCTTCTCTGTCTACACAGACTTCAGGGGAATCTCACTGGGACTGAGGTTTACACACCTATGGCCTCATGTCAGACCAGCCCATGCCAGGTCTCTCTGCCTTCCCTGACTGACTGCAGTGAAAACTGTCCCTCAGCTCCAAGAGCAGCAACTCCAAAGACTCTACCATAGTTGTCCATCAGCTTCTAATACCTTGGGCAAAAACATCTTACCTGCACCTGACCAGACTAACTTCTCCAATTAGTGGAGTTTGTTGACTTTTTTTTTTTTTTTTCAGACTCCAGGTCTAGCTGGAACAAGACAAGACAGTGTACAGAAACACAAGGCAGGGTTTGCTCAAACCCACAAACAGCAAGAAAGCAACAAGCTCCAGAGGAGAAGGGGAGAAGTGTATCTGATAAACTGCCTCACTCTGCTTGGGAAGATGACAACTGTCCATCCAAGATGGGCTGCTACTTCCAAAGCCCATCTGCCACAGGTGTAACATATCAAGTGCTGCTAGCAGGAAGGGAATCTGACAGGACAAACCAACATACAATACATTCTCTTATTCAATAAGGGTTATAAGTGCAAAGGGATTTCAAAACATTTCAGAACAAACTCCATCCATAGCTGCTGCTCATTTATCAGTGCATCAAAAGATTGTGCAAGTTTTTAGTGACAAACGTCAGAAACTAGTAGCAAAGGATTTGCCTAGATAAAAAAGAGAAGATTTAAACATGCCAGGTAACAAAAAGACGTGTGCAGAAATCTGTAAAAACTGTATAGAAGGAAAGGATTCTTTAGAGGAAACACAGGGACCATCATGAAATGCTGTTTGTAACCCGAATTAAAAGTGTCAGTGCCTCTCCTGCTGCCTCCTCAACTAAGACAGGCAATGGGCAAACAAAGGCATATCCTCCTTCTTCACAGACTTCTGTAGCAAGGTATGAACTTGCATTTAGACAAGGAATAGAAGAGCAGGAAAGCCTTGTCTGTGGTAATTAAACACAAATCAGTATGGATAGCCCTGGAGACTGAAGATCTTGATGTAGCCCAATTAGCAGCAGCGTGACCTTCTCGACAACATGCCAAGCGTGAATGCGATTTATCCTGCTTGCCTTTGGTGTCTGAGACCTGGCTGTCTAGACAAACCTGACAAACACAGACACTCCATCACTGGGTGGGCACCTCAACAGAGCCATTCATTTCCCCTGTCAGAAATACGGGAGGAACAGTTGGCCTGGGGAGAGGTGTTCTGACCACTAACTGTAGGAGGAAGCCTGGGTGACTGTGTCTTCCTCTCAGATCACTGAAGTACAATGGAATGTATATCAAAATGTTTTATACCATGACGTAAAAAGTTTTTTCATTTGTAGGAAATAACTGTGAATTTCATTGAAAGGATCCATTAGATTTTCCTGCCATCACGGGGCTTCTGTGATACACCAGGATAGGTGCCAATTTATTTGGCAAAACAAAAGGATACATCTCTCTTCTACTTGGAAGGCTTTTCTACAGATTCAAATATAACAGTTAGGAAAATCTCACTAATATTTAGCAGAATTAATCTCTTTGTAATTTCTGTGATTATTTCCTCACCATGTTCAGTTCTACCTCTGTGGATGAGAACTGAGTATTTTCACAATCTGAAGTATCAGGTTCCCTGTTTAGTTTTCTTGTGACAAGTGTTGATGCAAAAAGATTTTCACATCACTCTTTAAAATTATCAACTCCAACTTGCCGATTATTATCATTTCCCTCTATAAATTCAATCCAATCCTAATCTCTCTCTAGAAAAAGGGTACACAAAATTGCTTTTAGAATTCTGGGTGAAATTAGAACAGAAAGCAGGACATATAAAAAATGCATGACTTCTCAAAAGACAAGGAAAATAGATTAGTGTCAAATCAAATATTTCGTTCACCCAGTCTGAATCAAAGTATCAGAATTTGGATAAATTTCTTTGTTTCAGAATTAAAGAAAAAAAAAGGCAGAAATTAAAGTAGAATAAAAATATAACAACAATTTGTTTGGATTGTGATTTTTTTTCAAATTGCTGTTTACATTTTCTCCTAAAGACAGCACTGAGTGAAAACTGCCATCACTTTTCTGCTTGCAATGGATTGTCTACACAGTACTTAACAATTCCAAGCCCGAATATTTATTCAACAGCCACATGTTGCTGCAAATTCATGACGGGTTTGCTCTTCATTAACATCCTTACAGCAATTTTCTTTTGTTCTTGCTACATTCCTGGCTTTGCTAAGCTGGATTTTATAGTAAAATTTTAGTCTGTGGTCAGTGTTTCCTTTGTAGTCTTTATTTCAGGAATCTGTGTGCTTCCTGCCTGTCCTTTGTCCATTTACTCAGTAATTCTATACCCATCCACCTCCAAAAAGAGAGGAAAAAGCTTGCCTGATGTGATTTATTCCCTTGAACACCAGCTGTTCATTTCAGTCTCCATGGCTTTCTCAATCCTTCACCTGTCTGCTGAGAAGGGCACCGGTGGGGCCAATCAGTATCAGTTGTTCTGGTGGAGTTTGTGATATAGCAAACCAAACTGGGCTGAAACATGGTGCATTGTATTTCTTAGGGCTTTGTGTTCTGCTTTTAATTTATTTACCTTTTCTTTATTTATTTTTCCTTTCAAATTACAAACCAAGTGTTAAGTGCCCATTCCTCTAAATGGAGATGGTTTGATCTTTATTTCCTTTGGAGGAAGCCTGGGTGAGAAGGCACCAGGAGGATTCTTGGTTTGGTTCCCGTAGTTCCACCTCGAAAGAACAGACCTTTAGATCTCTGTGGGGTGGAGGGTACCGAGCCGCCATGGGAAGGAAAACATAACACTGGATAGACCAAAGTGCTGGGCTGGGACTTTTCTAGCAGCTTCCCATGGCACCAATAGCTTTTTCACTTACACTCCACATTTCCCATCGCTTTTCCTGCTATACAGTTTAATTCATGCCAGGCGGATTATGAAGGGAAGAAAATGATGCAACAGTCCTTTAAGTCGTTCCAGAAAAAAAAAAAGAATAAAAAAAAAACAAACCGAAAAATAAAGAAAAAACTCTGAAAACAAACTCAAAAGAAAGAGGGGAGGGGGGAAGAAAAATAAAGAACCCGGGAAAGACAAATGAATGTTAGAGCAGGCACGATCATGGACAGACGCCAGCTACTTACGTTCACCTCGGTGATTGCTATATCAACAATGCTACCCACAACAATCAAGGCGTCAAATGTATTCCATGCATCACAGAAATAGTGCTGCATGTGGCAGAGAAGCCAAGGAAAGAGAAAGAGAGAGAAAGGAAGAAAGAGTGAAAGAAAGAGAGAGGGAGAGAGAGAGAGAGAGAGAGAGAGAGGGAGAAAGACAAAGGGAGAGGGAGAAAAGAGGGAAAAAAAGGAAAAGGTAAAATAAAATAAAAACAAAACAAAACAAAACAAAGCATGAAAGAGGGAGAGAAGAGGAAAAAAATAAGAAAAGAAAGAGGTTACGTGGGCATATTAAATAGTCTCTTACCACTCTACAGTATTGATTGCTCAAACCTCTGTAACGTTTCACATGTTGTAGGGTATCAACAAAAGCCTGGTTAGTCAGAAACTTACACTCAAGCATGTCTACCTTTTGGAGGGAAAAAAAAGCACACACACCCCAAACTCTGTGCGCTTTCACCAGTCACAGCCTTGGGGCGAGCTATGACAAGTGAAAAAGAAGGAGGTGTTCCCCCCTCCTTTTTTTTTCCCTGGGAGAAGGAGAAGGACGACGGCAAGTTCAATAAAAGCATGACTAGAGGGAAAAAAAAATCAGAAAAAAAAAAAAGAGAAAGAGAGAAAGAGAGAAGGAACAGCAGAGGAGGAGGAGGTGGTGGTATCCTGGGGAGGGTAGAGTAATACTCACATTAGTTTCACTGAGAATGACGTCTATAATGCTGCCAATTACGATGAGGAAGTCAAAAACATTCCAAGGATCACTAAAGTAACCCTACATAAGGAAGGGGCAGGCAGGATGGGGATTAAAAAGGAATGTTAGACAGACAAAAACAGTTCAAAATTACCATTAGAATTACTGCCCTGACACCTCAAGGGGTTTTTCTCTTAACTCTACCTGAGGCTTCTCAGGCCATAGCCTACTGCTGGCATCCCTGACCTGTGTGAACAGCCCTTCTACAGCCAACACGACGTCAGGCCAGATACTCCTCACCTCTGACTGAGACGGGGTGAAGGGGAAGCCACACAGATCATGTGGAGTATGGCTGCTCTTGGGAGCAAGGGCTGAGCACCAGGTCCTCCAAACATCTTTGATTCCTAGCCATATATGTCCCTTCCCCATCTGGTTTAGATTTGGCTGGGAAAGAGGACAGGAATGTTGTCGTATTCTTTCAAAAAAAGGCTCTCCTTCTGCCAGGGTGAATGTAGATTCACCCGTCTATTTGGCTTTGTGCTGGCGTGGAAAGCAGCAACGTGCTTTGGTACAGCAGGGCAGAGGGCCCAGTCAAGTTGGAGATGTGTTATTTAAACAGGTCCTTTTCTTTATCTTTACCCAGCCACAATAAGTATTATGACAGCCATTAGCCTAACAGTTGCTGTTATTAGTGCTTTAGCTCCTGTCTTAAAACTACAGAGCAGCACTGTATTTACATTACTCTGAAAGCACAACTGCCCTACAAAATGAAAGTGTGAATGCAGCCTGTGCATGCTGCTAGGAAGGGGTGAGGATGGGAGTAAAGTCAGTTCTAGCATGTGTTCAGAGTCGGACCTCTTCCTCACTCATGCTGAAGACGCAGCATCACTGTGACACTGGCTATATAGGATGAGCTGTGACAGATTGGCTACCATGTGCTAAGCTCATACCTTTGCTTTGCTGTGTAGGATTTCTTTGAGAGCCACATCTGATACTGTCTTACGCAGGGCTCAGGAGATTCTAATCAGCACTGCTTGCCTTCCCCCATCCTGCATGATTTTTCATGGCCTGGGTCATAGGGATACAGGACTCTTTGGGAAAAATCCTGTTCAGCCCAGCTTCCACATGTCAACTTCCTGCCCAGTTCAATGTCTTGAGCAAAAAACTCATATCTTGGTCCACTGAGCACCTGAACATCCTTGTTCTGGAGTCCTAAATGGAGGCAAGCCTCCAAAATCCTCTGTGCTCCTTTTATGTGTTTGGTTTTGTGAGCGTGGGCTGTCTGACCTCCCTGTTTCCCAGCTGCAGCATGTCTCCAGCGAGACTGAACCCAAGTTGCACTGCTACTGCTATTCTTAGCCAGAGAGTCAGGTCATGGGTAGAGTGTCAGGCTGTGTTCCCAGGCGGCGTTATAGAGAGCAAAAAGGAGAAAAGAAAAAAAAAATCCCAGTAGTGGCACTGCATTAGCCAGGCTTAGGAGCCTTAAGTTACTGTGGATCCAACCATCACATAGAGCAGTCATTGGCAAAAAGTGTCTTTCTGAACTCTGAAATGCTGCCTACCAGGATGCTTGGAGACTCACGGTTATAACCTGTGTTTTGTGTTGGGCTGGGATAATGGAAAAAAAAAATAATTAAAAACAGCAGAGAAGCCACTCTCAACTGGTTCACACCAGTGAAGGGAGCTGATAAGAGAAGACTTTGAAATCTTCTCAGAACCAGAAAAAAACACCCTTCTTTCTGCAATCTGAAACAGGCAACTCTCAGCAGATCTACACTGGGAGGAGTAATTGCACCATGGCTGCTCATGGCTACACAATAAGCTACAACAGGGAAGAAGGAAACAGGAGCAAAAGCAAATTCAGAGAATATTATTATTCAGCGTCCAGCCTAGAAAATACACAACAAATATTAGAATGAATTCAGCAGTGATGTCCAGCATCGTTAGCAACCAGATGGACCTGGAATAAAACTGCAATTAGACTTCACCAAGAGAAAGGGGAGGGAGAGAACAGCAGATTAAAATGTAGAGGCAAATGCATTTTGAATAAATAAAGGACAGACACAGATCATACAGAGTTGCAGAAAGTGCCTTTGCAGCCTGATGCAACCTTGGCAGAGAAGACACTTGAAAGATCAAAGAGAACGGAGGAGAAAACAGACCCAATCCTCCTGCCCCATTCGTGTGCACGTTCCTGATGATGACAGTGGCACTACTTATATCCAAATCAATACATTGAATGGCATGGCTATCCTTCTATTTCCTTCACAAATTGAATAGACTGGGAACTGTTATGGACTTTTGCAGGAACCCAAACAACTCCAAAAAACAGCTTGTTTTTGGGAAGCTGCAAGGGTGAAGATCCAAAACGCAATGTTCACATCTTACCCATGAAAATGATGGCCCCCTATTTTTGAATTCGTTGTGGTTATTTTTACTATTTTTACCATATTTGGCATCATACTGTAAAGAGTATTTTGGGGGTAACCAAATTATTATTTCTTTTTACTGAGCAACTCTGGACACAAAACTCAATTGACACAGCTGCTGTTTGAACACCATTTGCTGGTGGTACAAAACCCAGGGGACAAGCAGCAGAGAATCCTGTCCTCAGATGACCACTGAAGCCAGTGAATTCAGCATCACTCCCAGTTGCAGGAGTGCAACTTCAATGAAAGCAATGACACTGTATTGATATCGCTGGCACATCTCAGGAGAGATTCAGGCCTGGAAAGAAAAGGTGCCTATTTCATTGCTGTCACAAGTAGCTGCTTTGGACACTTGTGTGACCACAGCGTATATCTGGAGTCACTCAGCTAATTCTGTGGAGTTGCTCCAGATTTACACTGTGAGCTCTTCCCCTGGGATGCTCTGTTGAGTCCCACCAGCCAGCTCCTTGCCTGAAAGATGGGGTCACAGAACCAGTAACACAGCATGTTGCTGTGGAGCTGTCAGGTGGACTCAGAGAGCTCTTCTCTTCCTCTTAGTCTGTTAGAAAGAGGACCTATGGGTAGGAATGTGGTTTTACTCAACCCCACATCCAATAAGCCAGAGTTAAATTAAAGAAACACGTGAATTTTGAAACCTTCTTTTCCTCCTCACCTGCTCCCTCTGTTTCAAAGAGAAAGGTGAAAAAGAGAAAGATATTATTCACAGTGAGAGACCTCAAAGAAAACAGAGAACATAGGTGCTTAATTTGCGTGCAGGGTAATGGGATCCTTCCTCAGAAAGCCTTGTCTCCTTAGAGACATTCACCTACGAATGGCCATGTGGTTGCTCAGCCCTAGGTCAGACCTCCTAATCTTGTTAGAGTGCACACTGAGAGTGAATAACATCATCCCTAGGGACTTGCCTCTTGTGACCTTAAAGGACCTCTTGGAGCCACAGTCCTTGCTGGAGTGTACCAGGGTGGATAATGAAGGACAAGCTGAATGAAGGGACAACTTTCACTCTAGTAAAGAGGCTGTATTTCCAAGCTGTTTTTCCCACCAGAAAGTTCTGTATGCTTTTCCCAAGGGGGTGGAGGTCTGACTGGAAACAAATTGATGGTATTGTTTGTTTTTGCAGGACAGGAATTTAGAGTGCAATACCACATTTTACCCTTAAAGGGAGATGTTTCACCCTGATTTAGCTGTATATACATGTCATGTTATGGCAGGCCAAGGGGCATACAGGGGAAGGGTAGTCACCCTCTCCTGTGGGAGTTCTCTGAATATCTGTGAAGCTTTTGGGGAGAAAGGAGGACAGAAAGAGACCAGGAGGATTGGAGTGAATATACAGGAAGCGTGAAATAACCCCACCATTACAGCAAATTTTTTCCCCCATTTTTTATTTACCCCAAAGTAGCAAAGAATAGTGAATCATCACATGATCATTATGTTAATGAAAGGCTGAGCATAAATATGCAGTAGCTGACTGGAATGGAATCTCATTTGTGCGAGGCGAGCAGACATTGTAGCATTTCAGAATGAATATGTCAATCATTTTTAGGTTTCCTAGTCACCGAGATTAGCTATGAACGAAGCTGGAGTTTGTTTTGATACTAATGGAGGCACTGAAATCTCTGGAGACCATTTCTTTGACTTTTTGTGAATATGAGATCCTAAATGCAGTATTTAAGATGCCTTGCCAACAGCAGGGAACATTGCCCACTGGAGCCTTTTCTGTAGTTCTGAGCTCAGAGTCACCCATGGCCCCAGGTAAGAACATGAGGTAGGCTGGGATGCTACACATCTGTGCTGAAGCACAGAGATCCTCAGTGGAAGGGCACTGCTTGAATTGTAGTACAGCTGGGTAATGAGCAGCCCCATGGGAGCTGCAGGACCACTTCTGTATTTACTGACAAGCAGTTTTTTATCTATCTGCTTAGTCCCAGGTTTTCACTTCCATCTCTTATGAGGTGGTTGGCAAAATTAAAAAAAAAAAAAGGATGAAGGGCCAAAGCAAGGACCAAAGGTGTCCACTGGGGGGGGGCTGATGTAGGTCAAGTGCTCTCTAGCAGAAGCTCAACAGTGTCACAGAAAAACAAGGAGAGATATGTGTGCATGTGTGTATACATGCATGTATGTAATCCATACATGCATGTACACACATGCATGAATACAGAAATGAAGTATAGACAGAGAGAAAATGGATAACTACAGGGCCTAAAAGGAAAGCAAACTGAAAACCTTGCCACTGTTGATCTGAAATGAACCAACATACTTAAATGACAAAAGGAAACAATAATCGTAAACAATTGGAAAGAATATGTAGGAAAGAGAGAAAGGGGATTATTTCCTGATACTCAGTGTGATTTCTTATCAGAAATATCAGACTTTGCTGGTAACTTGCAAAATGAGATGAACACACAGTCTTGTTGATGCTTGCTTAGTACGTGAATTCTTTCCCAAAAACGTAGCAGGCTGTTTGGAATTGTGAGAGTCAGTTATCAAACTCCATTAAAAGAGGATTTCCTGAGCAGAACTTTCACAAGAGACAGTTTCATTGGAAAACAGAATCAAGTCAAATGACATTTGCACAGCTCTGTGACTCTTGGCATACCTTCTCACAGCACACTGGGGGGATTCAGAGATATCCTG